TATTAATTTTTATTTTAAAACTAACATTCCACGTCATATTTAAAATTGCAAAATAATTATAGAAAATAACTAAAATTCGTTTTTTTTTCTCAAAAATTATTGTAATAAAATCTATTTTTCATTTCAAATCTCGTTTTTTTTAAAAAAAATCAGATATCAAATTGTGAGTAAAGAAGTCCATTTTGAAAAAATCTTCAATTTGATATCTGAATTTTTTTTTAAAAGAGATTTGGAATGAAAAATAGATTTTATTACAATAATTTTTGAAAAAAAAAAAACGAATTTTAATTATTTTTCTATAATTATTTTGCAATTTTAAATATGACGTAGAATATTAGTTTTAAAATAAAAAAACTAATATGACATGGAATATCTTAGTTGGCAAAAGATCTGGATGATGTCAGCATTAACAGGTCAACCAAATTTTTAAATAAACAAAAAGTTTGATAAAGACCCCCTAAATGACGATTTTGAAAGTTGGTTTCCCAAAATATGAATCAGGTGAAAGTTGGTTTCATTTTAGTGCAATTTTCCTTATTTATTAAAAGTTATCATTTAAAAAATAAAGTTTTTTTGGAAAATTACCGTTTCATATATTATATGTTTAAAAGTTTATTTAGTTGTTTGAAAGTTTATATAAAAGTTAGTATGGTTGTTAAAAAGTTTGTTGAATTATTAAATCTATTAGTATTTTAATAATATAGTTTACGATGGAATCTCTAAAATAGAGAAGCCGTTGGAGTTGGAAGAAAATGGTTTTAGAGATTTCGAGTTTTCATTCTCTATTTTAGAGAAATCTTAGAGAAACTGTTGGAGATGCTCTAAGCTAGCTTATAAGAGATGAATACCTTGTTCATCTGCTGTGCAGTAAGGTCTGTAGGATTCTCTGGTTCTACAATACCTTCTTTGATGACATCCCATAAGTCCTGGTATTCGAACAAAACTTTCATTTGCATACTCCAATGAAACTAATTCCTTCCATTCAATTTTGGAAATTGGGTCTGTGACTGTATACCGTTGATGGAATTCGAAGTCATGTTTTGTGGCTCTGATACCGATTTGTTGTAGAATCAGAGGCATACACAAAATACAGAATGCACAACAATTGTATTGAACAATTATCAATCAGTTAATTACAGAGAAAACAAATATATAAGGAAGTGAACCAGCGTATACAAGGAGCAACCCTTCATGAAACCGATTGGAGAGTAACTGCCAAATATAACTGTCAACCACCATAACAGTCATCCAAACCAACAGCAACAGAAGATTATTAGCTTAAAATTTAACAGATCGAGGATGCCTTGTTGTATTTTTTTCATGATGATATTAGCATAGGAATAAAGGATGTGAATTTAGATATGATTACCTGAATTACTTGCAACACACAGGGGAAGGACGGCGATTAAAAGCTGTCAATGAGAGCGATAACTAAGATTAATCGATTGATGCTGAATATTGCAGGCTACTAAACCCGAATTAGAAACTCAGAAAACCAGCATTTGGATCGATCATCGTGATACCCTAAAGAAAGAATTGAGCGAATTGATTCAATTCTTGTTATTCCCAATGAAGGGACTAATATTATATACAACACGTTGTGTCATTCTACAAGAATCCTTCTATATGAATTCCACAAAATATGGAAGACTAAATAACACTTAATAGTAACATATTATAAAACTTCCTAATTCTCGAGAACTTATGTGGTACTTGTTTTTTAAGAGATGTTGAAGTCTGAAATCTTATTTCACTTTTGATTTTTAAGAGATGGTGCTGAAGTTTGAAATCTGAATCAGTCAAAATGTTTGTTTTTACGTCTAAAATCTGAAATCTAAATCAGTCATATTGTTTGTTTTTACTTCTGAAGTCTGAAATCTGAATCAATTCGTTTCAATTAAATTCAACTAAATTATCCAATCATTTAAATCATTTGTAAACTACCATATATTTTTAACACATTAAAAAATTCAACTAAAATACGTCAATTGATTCAACACACAATAGAAAATACGAACAAAGTCTCATAACAACTAGAATCAATATTCATTTTACATTAATTGTGTCGCAATTTCTTCTCTTAAACTAGCAATATATGTTTGGTCAGCGGCACTCCCATGCGATTGAACCTCTTCCCCAACAAATTTATATTGATTTGCATAATGTTATTACTTTGAATAGTTAGCATTGTGACCCCAAATGATGTCGATTCATATACTAAATGTATATCACGGAATATGTTTGGTTGTAGAATGGATTTACGATGCTATGTAAAAATTATATCGTAGATAATATTAGTTTAGAAGTAACTATTGATTGATTTTGTGTTTAGAAATATTTGGAAAACCGATTTTATATAAACTTTTAGTATTTCTTGAATTCAATGATATTTTTAATGATAAAAATAATATATATTGAATTCTCTTTCAAACTTATCGATGACCCTTTTTCACATCTAGTTCATGACCTATACAAAATGTCAGTGATAACCACAAGGGTGGTGCCTGATTGGCTTGAGCTTGGCTCCAAAGGTCAAAATTACCAGGAGGTTCCAAGTTCAAATCCCAGGAGGAATAAAAATCCCCTTGTGGCCACGGAGGTTCAAATACGGTGACTCCGGGCTATCTGCAAAGCAGGTGATCGCCCTGAGATTAGTTGGCTCGCATAGCGGATTAGATATCCAGATTAATATAAAAAAATGTCAGGAATGAACCTGAATTTTATTTTTTATACCAAAAGAAATTATCTTTTTCTACCCTAATATTTATTAACTTTATAAATTAAACTTATATATTTTTAGTTTTAGAAATCATAAATTTTAATAATACTTTAGTATTGTGTATTTTTAACTTGTTTATTGTATACATTTTTATACTAAAATATACTAGTGATGTGTTTTAATTAAATATGTAATCATACTGTAAGTTAGTTAAAAAGTAATTAGTTTGCAAAATAAGTTGAATATATAAACATTTAAATTATGAAACTTAAAAATTAATATGAATCTAATTATAATGTCTAGAAAATTGTAAAAGATATTAAAATAAAAATACATAAATCTCAAATTTAAATGACTTTATAATTACAAAAACTTAAAATGATACAAATTAATAATATTATACCAAATTTAATATTTTACTATTATCCTTCTAATCTTAAAAATGGTAAATCCTGTTACAGTTATTTTGTGTAGGAAATAGGTTTTGGATGCTTAGGATTACGAGTGTTCAAAAACTCGATCAACTCGACCCAACTCAGCACAAAATAATCCAATCTGAAGCAATCTGATGTTTAATCGAGTTGTAAAATTGTCAAACCTTAGATATTAGGTTGATATTGGATTACTATTATTTGAACCCAACCCAACCCGATGAACCCGATATCCTTTTATTTATTGGATTTAATATGATTGTTGAATTTCTATTAATATATACATTAGACAATTACACTATCATGTATGCTTTTCATATACACATATTTTCAATTTATTCACACCTCTATATAACACATTCGTATATATGTTCAGTAACTGTGAACATATATATGTAAATTGAGAAAATTAACTGAATATGATATATATAAGAAATATGAATAAGTTGTATTAAATGGTTGATGATGAAAAAGAAATTATGAGTAAAGAAATAACATATTCAAGGTTAGATGAATACTTTAATGTACCAAAGTATCAACCCGACTAACCCGTACGGGTTGGGTTGGGTTAAGATTTTTCAAACCGCAAGCATTGGGTTGGATTGTTCAAATATCTTCAATCCAATCAACCCATCCCATAAGCACCCCTACTTAGGATTGTGCTTTTCAATAAAACAATATGATAGTAATAAAGAAAATACATTATAATATTATTAAAATATCAAAAAGTATTTTTAGTCTGTTTAGTATAGTTTAAGCTTCTAAAAAAACATATATATTCGGCAAAACGTTGATTAACGTAACGAAAAGGACCTACATCGTATCGAAACTTGTTTTATATTTAGATAAAATTGTTACGTTTCTTTGTCAACCGAGTTTTTTCAATGTCATGGCTCAAGACCTGATGTCGACCCATAAAAAAAAACAATATAATATGCACCTTGGATCGAAACATTCGCGTATAGAAAAACATTTAGAATATTTTATTAATAATTAAATATATATATTTTTAAATTACGCTAATTAACAAAAAACACTAGTTGTTTTGCAAATATTTAAGATTTAACTTATGCTTTACAGAATTTAATAGTATAGTTTAAGTGATGAAATCTATTAGAAAGTAATCGATTTTTAATTATATGTCACATTTATAACTAAAAAGGTTATACAAAAGTAAATATTATTTTATGGAATAAATGTACTAATTATAATACCATCACGAGAGATTAATTAATAAAATAATCAAATACATTATTATATATAAAAACTAATCATATGTTTGGATTTTAATAAAACAAACTATTTGCAATTGATTCTTCCAAGGAGTAATTAAGTATATATGATGAATGCCATAAAGAAGCTTTTTATTTATTTATTTCATAAAGTTTTAGCCTTTTTTGAAAATGCTTTAAATACATTTACATGATCCAACTTTGAAATGGTTTAGGGTTGTTTGAATGTTCCTCTTGAAAATGATTATATAATATAAATGTGAGAATATGTGGAAGTCTACCTGATGTGACCCCGGACTATCTGCAAAGCAGGTAGTTGTTCTGTGATTAGTCGGCTCGCATAACAGGTTGGATATCAATGATTATAATAAAATAAAAATGAATTGTAATACTTAAGTTATGCATGTATGCACAAGAGATTTAACCCACGAAAATGGTAACTTCAGTTTCTTTCATTTTTCCATTTTACTAGAGTACATGATCTATGGTTGAGAAACATTACAACGATTGAAACAAGAACTAAAAGTCATATTCCCTAGCATTGCCAATACAGTTGTATTTTAGGGTTCTGGTAGTCGTAGATAATCGAATCCGAAACACAAGATAGATGGGGTTTGCGACAAGTTAGCATTTCTAGTTTCGAAAAGTAGAACTAGACACGAAAGCTCGAATACTAGGCTTCGCGGTCTCCGTTGTCTTAATGGTACAGAAGAGCATCATCCTATATACAACCACCATACCAAACAAGATTCCAAGATCAATCCACTTAGAGTATCCGGTCTCGATGTGCAATACACCCTTCAATATCATCTCACCATCAATGGCCGGAGGACCTCCTGCGTACTCGGGGAACTTAAGCCCTTCAAACTCATTTTTGTACAGTCCTTCTAATGCATACCTGTGGAAAGAAATGTAGTACATAGGGTATCTCCAGAAGACATGAGGTAGTTCGTTTGGCAAACGAAAGAATCCTGCACCTAGTATCATCAAGCCTTGGATTCCAGTACCAGATATGATGCCCATGAGCAAATTTGGCACAATGGTAGCTATGATCATCATAAGACATTCGACCAATAACATTGAAACAAGGAGGACTAATGCGAAATACGTAAAGTGTCCTGGTTCTCTTTGAAGTCCCATGAGCACGTAGGCTATGGTTCCTGGGATTAAAGATATGACAAGCAGGTATGGCAATGAAGAGATGGCATTGCTGATAACAAATGATCCGACCCCATAATGCCCGTTTAATCTTTCGCATTGAAAAACCTACACAGATGTACGTATTAGTTCAATTACATTTAATTTTGCTTATCAAAGATCGAACACATGAGATATATCGACAAACCTTCATTTCCTCCACGAACGAGGGGAACCCACCAATGGCTAAAATGGCCAGGAATGATGAAACAAACATGATCATTGAAACCCTAGCCTGTGCCATTAAGAACCATAACAAACTGTTCTCAATACTTAGGACTACAAGAGGGGATTTTGTAATGAATTTATGCAGAAAATCCACTCCACTCTCTTAAAGTTGTTACACATTCCAACGTAGAACTTACACTTATGGAGCCAAATGCAGAACCAATTCCATGGAAGAGTGTTCCTAATGCCAAACCCAAGGTAATATATATACCAAGTCGCAACCAGTAGTATCCGATGTCACGGTACATGTTTTTGAATGATCTTTCCGTGAGCACCGAACACTGTGTAATGAAACTGGCTTGCAGGCTTCTTTTTCTCTCAATTTGATCTCCTTCCTTCAAAAATTACATTATAGTTTCATATCTTCTACTGTAATGTAAAGTGTAATTAAACCTTGCTTTTATGACAGAACACAGAGAGTATCATTACCTCTCCGCATATAGTAGCTATTTCACTTTGGACTTCCATATATATCTCAGATGATTTGTAGGATTCAGCAAGTGCGTTGATTATATGTTCAGCAGGAATTTCTCCATTAACGATGTCCTAACAGTAGAATAAACATCTGATCAGAACTTTGTGGTTCAAAAAGAAGAAATTTTGTTAAAAAAAACAAGGGTATGATGTTGAATTCCATAACTATAAACTACCAGTTACAGAATCCAGAAACTTGGAAGTTTTGTAATCATGGGAATTCTTATTCGAAAAATGATACAGAAAGAGCACCGATTCATCGAAATTTATCACTCATTTAAGACAAAGATCGAACGATTAATTAAACCCACCTCGCCAAAATATGTGTTGATAGTTATGAGGTAGTGATCTGCAGGACTTTGAAGATCTGGACAAGGAAAGCCATTTACTGCAAAAAACTGATGAATAACAACTGAAGTGGTTACCTTCATGTTCTTATGATATCTAGTTGTTACCATGTTTGTCATGATCATAAGATGATAACCTGATTTGCTGCAAAAGTAGGACCAAAGTATATTGTTTTCCCCAAAGAGAGAAGACAAAGATTGTTAAGAAGTCCAAAAACTTGACTACTTGGTTGATGGATGGCTGCTAAAACCGTCATCCCGTATTGTTGAGTGAGCTTTACAATCTGGTTCATGACATGGTACGATGATGCGCTATCAAGACCACTCGTAGGCTCATCGAGCAACAGAAGCTTGGGGTGTGTCAAGAGTTCCAAGCAGATGCTTACGCGCCGCTTTTGACCACCACTAAGTCCTTTAAAACCCCACCCTCCTATTCTCGTGTTCACAGAATCTTGGAGCCCCATCTCCCTTATAGTTCTATCAGCTCTCTCCCTCTTCTCGGATCTCGGCATCAACTTAGGCAGTTGAAGTTCAGCTGAGTAATAGACTGTTTCTTTCACTGTTAGAGTCCATGTTAAAACTTGTTCCTGAGTCATATATGCCTACATTCATTAGAAGAAAGAAGTGTAAGCAGAACCATTAGAAGTATATATGTTCTATGTATATATTGTATTCACCAAAGGATAGATCCCATACCAAAGTTCCATATGTAAGCCTTCGTTTACGTCCATTAACTAGAATCCGTCCTGTCTGCCTTGTGTTCGAAGCCAACCGCCCTGTAATCGTACAAAAAATCTAAACATGGTGTCGTATACAATATCGTGTTACCACTTTTATGCCCCAAGGCTGTAAGATCTACGATATCTATCATGCCTATATCAACAAAATTTACTACTGAAAACATAAACATCATGCCTATATATATATATATATATATAAATGATTTGTTTTATAACAACATACCAGCCAAAGAATCAAGGAGAGTAGACTTGCCACAACCAGAAGGACCCATAATGGCAACAATCTCCCCTGGTTTAGCATAACCAGTGACACCTGTAAGTAAGGATTTACATCCATCTTTGCCTGCAAAAGAATTTGAGCTTGGAATAGCTACGCCAAGATCCTCCCATGTCAAGTAGGCTCCATTACTCCCCTTTTTTTCCATCACAGGGGACTCATTCTCGATGATTTCTATGCCCCATTCCCCTTCATGTGGCTCTGGACTTATTCCATTATTGTTATGCACCAAACTACCCATGCAAGATCAAAGATTACAACAGATAAATACAAAGGGATTCAAAGAGAGAGAGAGAGAGAGGGTGAGTCTTTAGTAGTTTGGAAATGGTGAGAAGAGTGGAGAGCTATATATATATATATATATATATATAATAAGAGCACGCAGAGGAAGTATCATGGATTCATGGCAAGCAATGCAGTTCTGTGGATGTATTTTTTTTCTTTATTAATTGAGGTCCCCTGACTAATTGGAGAGAGAAAGATGCTAGCACAAAAGATAATCATGCGGCAATTTGACTCTTAATTTTTGCCTGGATGTGCCATGCACAATATTGAAAATAAAAACCCCCCCTTGCATACAAAAGTCGTAATATTTGATTGGACATAGTTTTAAAAATATACAATTTCAACCGGTGATGTCTGATTGGTTTGAGCTTGGCTCCAAAGATCAAAAGTACCAGGTGGTGTCAGTTTCAAATCCAAGGAGGAATATAAATCCCCTTGTGGCTACGGTGGTTCAAATGCGGTGACTTCAGGCTATCTGCAAAGCAGGTGATCACCTGGGATTAATCAACTTGCTATAGCTCGCATAGCAAGTTGGATATCCAGGTTAATAAAAAAAACATCCTTTTTCCTTGGTAAAGCGGGCATACCATGAGGATGTATTCTCCCATATCTCAACAATACTCATCGTCTCTCATGAGAATGGAGACATTGTTAGCGTCATAATTGTAGTCTTTTGTCGAACCCGCTCCATCTGGACAATTGCTCCTGACATGCCAAAACTGTCCAGACTTCAAACATATTAGATTATATCTTCCTTGATTCTTCTCCTTCCCTTGCTTGGTCACCAAAACCATACCTTTCGATGAATTCATGTTGCTACCTCCAATCTTTTCTCTTTGGATAGGAGTTTTCTAGTAACATTTGCGAACTTCAAGGTCTCTTTTCCATATATCATAATAGGCTTCATGTGCTCATAGGAAGGTGGCAAAGATAATATGAGCCTCAATGCTTTATCTTCCTCTTCTACCTTAACTTTGATAGCCTCCAGTTCTGAAACGACATTGTTAAGAACACGTAAATGATCTGAAATTTCTGTACTTTCATCCATACGCAGAGTATGAAATTGTTCCTTCAGATACAAGCGATTAAAGATGCCTTTGCCCTAATACAACTACTCAAGCTTCTCCCAAAGCTCTTTCGTCGTTGATACCCCATGGACGTTTGCAAGAACATTTTTTGCTAGACATAGACGAATTATACTTGTTGCTCTCAAATCCAAATCATCCCAATCTTTAATCGCTTTTATACTGGTACTGCTTGATTCACCGCTGGAAGCTGGTTTTTCTCTCAATGCCTTATATAACCCGGATTATATCAACATATCCTTAACTTCAACTTGCCATAAGCCAAAGTTGATCATTCCATCAAGTTTCTCTACATCAAACCTTATAGCATTTGAAAACTTTGACATCGTATCAACGCCTCAAAAAACAATATCGTGTAGTAAAAGAGTGCTTCTAGCCTATGAGTAGCACACCAAGGAAAGTTTCCTAATATGCACATACTCCCGCCACACAATTCTATCGTATACAAAGTAACCAAGAGAAATTCTTTTCTGATGTGGAGGATCAGACAAAGCTGCAACCACAAAGCATATTAAGAATCCTCTAACCCCAGACCTCCTCCGATATGGCCAAGAAACAGTTTCTTTCTGAAGTGTAAGATCAAACAAAGATGTAACCACAGAGCATACCAAGAACCCTCTAACTGAGACCTCCTCGAACCCAAAGCTCTAATACTACTTATTGGAAAATTAGCCTCAAAGTTTCCCAACAACCCAAACAATGACCAGTTATAGAAAAAAAGAAGACAAGAATTAACGTGGAAACTCCAAAACCGAAAAAACTCACGGGCCTCCAGAGAGAAAATCCACTATGTGAAAAATTATTGCAATCACACAGTTCTAATCTCTCAAGTCTCTCCCAATAATACCTAAACTCTCAAAGATTTAACTCACACTTTTCTACTCTCTAGAACAAGAAAAAAAATACTTAAAGTATATTTTACTGTGATGATTTGAAATCTATGCCTTGAACCTCTTTTTAGAGGCTTGGAGTCCCTTCACCTTCTATTGTCCTGCCAACCTTTTTCACCTTATCTTTTATTTTAGCAAAAAATTCTCAACACTTTTTGTCAAATAAATATAAAAAGAGGGGGAAGTTTTAACCGAAAACAATGACTAAATAAGAAACATACAAAAACAAATAAATCATATGCAAAATTACATATGATTTTACACTAACGGTTAATGCCAACGCTGTGCAGACGACATGATATTTTAATACGTTTATTTTTTATAAATTACATCATTATAATCGTCTTGTTAATATGTTCAAAATGAGCCCAATATCAAATATTTTTGGATTTAATCTTATATTATTAAATATTATTGATACTTACAAATTATTTTTAATACTTACATTCATATCCGAATAGTTACAGATTAAATAAAAAACCATAAGGGTAAAAAGTGTAAGTTTTAAAAATAATTAGTATCTATTTATGATATTTAAAAATATGATTAAAACCAAAAAAAGATATTCAATATTAGCCCGTTTTGAATATATTAAAGAGACGATTATAATGATGTAATTTGTAAAAAAAAAACATATATTTTTATTTATTTTAGTTAATATACGATTATGTGTGTTAATACAATAAAGATGTAAAATAAAAAATGAGTTTTAAGGTAGGTGGGATTCATCAATCCAATACAGGAAATGGAGGGGTAAATCTTTTTTTTTATTAACCTGGATATTCAATCCTTTATGCGAGCCGACTAATCCCAGGACGACCACCTGCTTTGCAAATAGCCTGGAGTCACCGCATTTAAACCTCCGTGGCTACAAGGGGATTTTTATTCCTACTTGGATTTGAACTTGGGATCTCCTGGTAATTTTGACCTTTGGAGTCAAGCTCAAACCAATCAGACACCACGCTTGTGGTTGGAGGGGCAAATCTTTATGTGTTAGGTAAGATGATAGCAAATTACAAAATTCTACATGTATCTCTATTACTGTGAATTTCATAAATGAAGTAGTTAATATTGAGTTTTGAGATCCTAATTGCCATCGTTATGCTGTTACTTAATTAGTCATAAGGGTGTAAAGTGTAATTTTTTTAACACTTCAATAAACTGCTTATACATGTAGATTTCCTATACGGACGCTTCACGTTTGACATGTTCGAATAAATTTTATATCGAAAACCAAAAGCCTTTTTACGGGCTTGTGGATTTGCCCATACCTGCCTTATAAACGAGCCGGGCTTGCCCACGGGCTAGCAGACCTATTTTTTACATTTGAAAAATAAAACATATATAAAATCATGAGTTGTGTAAAATCATTTAAATTGCGTAATTTATTTGGTACATAAAATTAGACGTAAAAGATAACGTATGAAAAAATAGTTTCACAATAAGAGTATCGACTTTCTCTCCAATGATTTGTCAACTTTTAAAGTTCATGTGTTTTGAATAACAATATATATTAACCACCTATGTTTTAAGATCGAGATTTAAGACGTATTATATCACATATTATATACATTTGGATGACGGTTGTACTCTGTAGAGGGAGTCGAACTCATGACCACTTCTAAATCTTTTTGATAAAAAGAAGTAAATTATTAATTTATATATAAATTTAATAACTGTAATAATATAACGGGTTGGGCAGTCCTTGCCGAATCTTTTTTTATTGCCCAATCCCGTCCATCAATTTTAGCGGTCTAGCCTAAGCCATCGCATTTTTTTCGAGAATGATTGTCCACCCACGCTTTTCCAACAGGAGCGGCTCAGGTCTAACGGATCATACCGCTCGTGAACAGCTCTACATTTAACGTAGGAGTAGTTTACTCTAAAATAAATAAAAATACAATAATAAATTAAAGAACACCGCTTCTTTCGAAAGAATTATTTGAGGTGAATACGGTGACAAGTGATCGAATATATGACAACGATGTGATACCAGAATATACGAAAACATCGTTACACTTAAAGATTACATCGTGCAACATAAGTTTGGATTCGAGATTTTCTCTTTGACATTTTTAAAGAAGGAAGACTAATTGCACCCTTATGCGTTGTACTAAATGCACTGCTATCTAGTATTGTCTTGCTCACAGATATCAATATCAAAATTCCCTTTTTACATCCTCGGTACAAGACTGGACCCGTTTTTGATGCAAATAGTGTTGCCCTTTTCAACACACGTTTCTTTGATTAAATTTACAAAGTTTAAATCAACCATTATATACTACTAGAAGGATACTCGTGCAATGTATCGAGACACATTTTCATTCCAATGTTTCGCCTTATTTTTTATACATGTCGATATAATACGATTTTATATGGTTTTGAAAAAGAGATAATCTTTTTATTTTTGAATAAAATATAAATTTAAAAATATCATATAAAATTTGCAAAAAGTATATCAATATTAGTATCAAATTAACTATTTAAAAGTTCTTGTTTGTATATTTTATTAATTCAAATTTTTTTA